CGGGGCCCCCCGCCTCCCCCCCCTCCTCCTACCAGAGGAGGTCACCAGCCTCCTCCTCCGCCTCACCATCACCACCACCAGCCCCCTCCTCCGACCTCCTCGCACTACTCTGTTGCTCCCCAAGCCCCACCTCCTCCACCACCCCCACTGGCCCAGCAACCTCCAGCAGGCAGCGGCGACTCTGCCATTGCTTCACCACCTCCTCCTCCACCTCCCCCTCCCCCTCCAGAGCTGGACATTATCGGTGGAGGTGGAGACTCGCCTCAATCTGCGAGTCCAGGTAGGAAGTCAGCACTTCTGGAGCAGATCAGAGGAGGAACCCAGCTGAAGAAGGTGGAGCAGAACCACCGAGCACCGGCCTCCAGCACGGGACGAGATGCCCTGCTCGACCAGATCCGACAGGGAATCCAGCTCAAGACTGTAAGACCATCACTATGTGTAGCTGGCTGAGGTTTTAGAGTTAATTTGCCTACATTTGATCAGTTTGGTATTTCACAATGTCATCTTTTCAACAACAGCAGCCTGTGCTAGCTAAGCCTCCCAGTGATTTACATGACTGTGCCTGTCACATAGTGGACTGCACCTGTTTGTGTGTCTCCAGGTATCAGATCTTCCAGAGTCCGGCCCTCCGACGCCAGCTCCTGCTGCGGGCATCGTGGGCGCTCTCATGGAAGTGATGCAGAAGAGGAGCAAAGCCATTCATTCCTCAGGTAACTCTGCTGACCACAGCATCTAGGGTTCTCAGGAATAGTTGTGGGAAATAAGCTTGTTCACATTCAAGAGCTGAATGAGAAGATTTGCACCACTCTTACATCTGGTCAGTCAGTATGAGGCTACGGCCAATTAGCTTAGCTTAGCACAAGGACTGGAGCCAGGGGAAACCGCTAACTCTGCTGTCTCCACATACACCTTCACCACCTCTGAAGGTCAAAAATTCAAACAGTGGATTTTGATTGTTTAATTTGCACAAAAGTCCAGGTGTAGGAGCAACACCAGTCAGATAGTCCGGTATGTAACCCTTGGGAAACGACAGTTTATTTGCTTCCAGCTTTTATGCTAAGTTAGCGACTGCTGTAATATTTACCATGCCGTCATGAGAGTATGGTGTCATTTGTCTCACCTGACTCTTGGCATAAAAACCAGTAATTGAACATCTTGAAATGTCAGGTTTTCTTTGTGTCAGAACACTTACTCTTCACTTTGTGTTTCCCCTTCACCGTCTCCACAGATGAAGACGAGGATGACGATGAAGACGAGGACTTTGAGGATGATGATGAATGGGACGACTAGTCCTCAACCCCCTTCCCCCTCCCTGCACCTCAAGCTGACACTAAAATATCTTCTAAAAATCTTCCAGAACCTAAAATGTAAATGTTGTAAGAATTTGTTGTATATTTATTTTTGCCCTTTTTTTATGATTGTTACAGTTAAATTGTGCAATACCTCATCTGTTAAATCTATAACATTCATCACATGCCCTTATTGTTAAAAACCGCCCACTTCCTGTCACTAGAAAGCACTTAAGTCAGTCATCAGCACAATGTGGAGCCACTACATTTCATTATTAATAATCAATCATTTCGAACTCCAGCTGCTTCCCTGAGAGGTGCTGCAGTCCTCCTGTGATCCTTGGAATATAGTGTTACTTTCTTTATGTTTTCGTTTGTTGTTTTAGAAACTTTAAAGTGCGACCAAACAGGCCGGATCCTCTTGGTGTTGGCAGTGGGTCGGGTTCGATGCAAGTTGACTATTTTCTTAATGTTTCTTTTCATACCTTCTAGTTTCCTAATAAATTGTAGTCGTGTACATTTTTTTCATGAAGACGTCCGTTGACCAAAACACGGCAGCTCCATCGCCTCACATGGATCCTCAGCTTTTATTTTTTATTTAATTAAAACCATTTATTTGCACATAGCTTCTAGGATAGTTTGGGGGTGTTTTTTGTTTTTGTTTTTTATTTTGAGTGTATGTTGAAAATAGTTTATTTCAAGCAGGTTACAGTGACAATGGACACTAAAAGTGTTGCGATAACTTCTAAATGTGATTATAAGCATGACCGACTACATTTCAGTTTTTGCTTATACAAAGATTGTCTACAGAGATGAACCCACGGACACACTGTGGCATTTGTGAAACAATGACAGTTTTGTTCCTATGTCCAGTCGGGTGTATTTGTTTTGACATCATTCTGTCATTTCCGCAGTAGGAAGCATCAGCAGTGCTCCACCACGCGAAGAACTGAAAAATATAATTCATTTGTTCCCCTCTGTCCTCCAGCTAACAAGCTATAATTTTATGCAATGCGACTGTAAATGCCTCCTTGTAGAGAATAACAAAGAAAAGCAAATAATTAACCAAATGTGGCATTTGCAAGCAGCTTATGGGTTTGGCGATGCCTGTGATCCTCCGTCTGTGAACGGGGCAAAGAAATAACTGACGCTTGTTTTAACTGTTGGTCTTCAAGTTTTTACCGTCCTCCAGCGAGGCTTAATGCTGCAACGACAAGCCGAGATACTGACAGTGAACCTGTGAAGAGGGTGGGGAGGGATGGGGCTGGGGTGGCAGTGAGAACACTAAATTGTATACTTAAATAAATGTTAATATTTAGAGAGAAATGTTGTCTTCTCTTCTGTGAGCGAGTGGATAAGTGATTTAATATTGTACTTCTCTATCTGCTAGTGTTTTTTAAATCTTGGTAGGATCTTTATGAAGACTTCAGATGTAGGACTCTGACTTCATATGCTGACACATCTATCCACTGCAGCTGTAGCTGTAGATGGTGCCAGTGTGGTTCTGCAAGCCGCTGATGGCCTAAACTATAACAGAAGTGACATCAGCTTTGGTAAATATGTAAACTGAACTTCAACACCAAGCTGCTGGTGCCTGTAGCGCACATCCAATGTGCCACGCAGACAGAGGTCAGCAAGCTGTGGGATCCGAGGAGCTTTTCAAGCGAGCCTGCTCACACTGGTGCTGCGGATAGGACAGTGCTGGATTGTGATGCAGGTGTCTATGACATTCCTCGTACACTGTTGTGTATGTTAACACTTATTACAAATTATGATTTTACATGTAAAATGTGATGCACTGTATATTAAACCAATCACCAGTATGTAAACCGGTTACAATTAGCTCCAGCTTGATCAGTTTAAACACTCAAATGCTGTTTGTGTTTATTTATCAGTAATAATTATCCAGTAACAGGTTGAGAAATTCTGTATAGCCAGTAGTTTGATCCCCTTGGTGTTCCCATGTGGAAGTTTCCTTGAGTGAGACACAGAACCACAAATCATTCCCAATGTATGAAAGTTGTATAACTGTTCCTAAAATGGTGAACTTTTAAATTATGATTTTGTGTGAATGTTTTGTCAAGCATTCAGACAACAGTTTAACATCTCAGCTCCATATTTTTTTACCATGGCTATTCTGCAAAATACAAACCAGTTCCCAGCTCTGGCTTAGTATTTGGAAAGATAAATGCAGACAGGTGACAGATGAAAGGTCACCCCAACCTAAAGAGTCCCTGTGAGGAGCTGGGCCACCAGAACAGCTCCACTGATTCTGCGGAGGGGTGAACATCGTTCTTCCAACAGATGTTCCCTCATGGTGTTTTGATGATGATGGTGGAGACGCTGTCTTAACACGTCGCTCCAACATCTGCCATAGCTGATCAACTGGGCTGAGACCTGGTGACTGGGAAGGCCACAGCATCTGGTTCACATCACTCATCCTCATCAGACCAGTCAGTGACCCCTCTTGTCCTGTGGACGGGGGGACACTGTCATCCTGGAGGAGACTGCTCCTGTCAATATTTGACCACAGGATAGACATGATCACGCAGGATGTATTGTTCTGCAGTGTCCCTTCTCTCTAAGCGTATGAGTGGAGCCAAACCATGTCACTACTTGCATTCATTATGTTTCTCCAAACCTTTATTTTGGTTTCTCTTTTAATTTGTCACCCATTTGTATGTATATACAAAGGACTCATGTTATAATGAGTAATACTGTGGGTAGAGTATTAGTGAGTGGGCAGCAGGACCCCTTTTTCCTCCTTTATTAGATGTGAACTGTTGTAATGAGGAGTCACTCTCGGAGTAAACTCCCAGAGGGGAGTACCAATTTACTTTGAACAGCTGTTTTAATGATTGGCAGTGACTGTGTGCAAGTAGACAGGATTAGAAACTGACTCATACACACAGAAGGATCTGAAGCCCTGCTGTTTCTTTGCCAGTTGAAGCCAGATCAAATGAAACTACTGTTCACAGTAGGAGGCAAAGCTGTGATCAGTATTCAGTATGGGCAACTAGTGCTCTGTATTATCATAAGACATATAGGGCCTAACTAATGGGCATCTTTACCATTTTCCTCATGATCAAAGCTACCCTTCATCTTTTGCAAAAAGTGTCAATTATTAGTTATTTTCTGGTACTTTTGTGTCTGTATTGATTGCACGTTTCTCATAAGGGTACTTGAAGTACATGCTATTCAGGCAGCTCATATACTGTGTAGAGAGCGGGAATGACCCTTTGTCAAAGCAGACCTTTTTTTATTTTAATTTAATACTAAAATATACTATATATAGTGTAGCAGCCAAACTACCTCTCAATGATGAGGCTGTAATTCTCATTACAGCCTAAAATCATAAACCACTGAATGAATGAAAAAAGCTCAAAAAGGTTTTTTTTTTTTTTTTTTCATCTTTACTTGTGGTTGTGTTTAAAACAAAAGTTAAGTCATCTCCAGTTCCCTCTGTGGGCTTTACAGTGCTATTCATCCAGGATGTCACCTAGCCCCAGTTTGCGTCCCTCTTGTATTTGCTTTTTCTGAAAGTGGAAGTCCCCAACACTCAGACATCATACATTATGATTTATTTTACCTCGCTGCGTTGTCCTTTGTCCGTTTTTTGTGTGTGTGTGTGTGTATGTTGATGGACAATAAGCAGCAGCTGTAAGGCATCCTGATAACTCATTGGGTATGACGTAGGCCTGTACCATGCATACGATACCCCTCTCTCTTGAACCTGTAATTTCATGTGGTCTATTTCTACTTTCATCTTACAACTAAGTAAAGATGAAATGCAACTTGCAAACAACGCAAACTCCACCTCGAGACACAAGTAAACACAAAAAACAACTTAAGTTTCATTTGAAAGCAGAAGACAAGTCTCCATCAATCAGTTAGTTTCTAACTTTGTCATGTTTACCTACTTTCAAGTTCTTAGAACTGCACAATTCAGCTTTGTGGGGCAGGAGGTGGACTTTCCCAACCGTAGGGTCCGCAGTTCGATACCAGCTTCTCCAGTCCCCGTGTCAAAGTGTCCTTGGGCAAAACACTGAACTCCAAGTTGCTCTCAGTGATATTGCATGTGAGCAAATAAGTGAACAGGCAGAAAGTATGTAAGGGCTCTGTGTATGCTGCTGTGTAGAAAAGTCGGTGATATTGCATGTGAGCAAATGAGTGAACAGGCAGAAAGTATGTACTGTAAGTGCTCTGTGTATGCTGCTGTGTAGAAAAGCACTATACAAGTGCACAAAAATGCTTTGACTGCTGCAGAGAGAGGTTTGTGTTACCTGAAAGATGTGATGAAGTATAAATGAAGTGACTTTATGTAGTTTCTCTTTGTGCAGGGGTAGATCTGTTGCTTGTGACAGACAGACTAACCTGGGGCCTGCGACAGGATTAAATTGCCCCCAAGCACGAGACTCCCTGATGGTCATAGAGTATTCTGCACACTGATTATTCAGATCCTGGGCCTGTAATTGGAAGAAGTGAAAACATTTCTCTACAAATGTGTGTAAACTGTCTGAATCTGGATCCAAAGCTGGTAGAGATGAGGTTAGTTTCAACATGTAGACTGAGTGAGAACGTCAGCTTTTATTTCTCTACACAGCAGTAAAAGCATTAGGTTTCTCATGGCAACAGAGAAGTGCAGTCTGCTGCTACACTGTGACAAGTTACATAAGACACGGTCAAAACGTGACTAACTGAGCTAAAAGTCAAATGCTTCAGTACAAAGTGAGAACTGTTCAGGCGTGATTGGTCGGTGAGTTCAGGTCTGTGATGCATCCACCTGAAACGACAAACATCACACACTGATCAGTTACAGATTTCTGACTGACAAAAATAGCTTCAATCAGATTCTGAAACAAAGTTAGTTAGGTGGTGAGGACAATTAAAACAGCCAAGATCAGTTAGGAAATTTTAAAAAATTATTTTGAAAATTTCTGATAGTTTGGAAGTACTGGTACAAAAGTATTTACTTTTATTAGCCCATTATTTCAACATTGCAAGTTAAATATGTATTAAATATTTTGTATAGCAGAGGAACTTGGTGAAGATAATACCTGCCATATTTAATGCTGAGCATGTGAAACCAGCGGATATCTAACTGTTATAAGTGGGTGTGAGAGCTCACATCCACTTCTGTTCATTTTGACCAAGTTTAAAATTTGTTTAAATTTAATCTTATTTCATAACTTTAAAAAAAAAATCAAGTTTAGGATTGTTAAGTGTGAACATCCTGCTCTATCATGTTGTTCCCCAAACACACGGGTTTGTTTACTGAGGAGGAAGCTGAACTGACTCTCACTCATTTGCTGTTTCTCCCTGTCCTGTAAAATATTTTGGACCAGTGACATGATCTTCCTACACAGAAGACCCATGTCTGCTGGATCTGATAAACAGCTGTGCACACTCCTCTGCCCTCTTCCCAGCAGCACTCTCAGCCATCAGTGTTATCAAAGATGTCAAACTATTTATAACCTGCCAGAGCTGAGGAGGCTGTCGTCTGGTGACAGTGAACCCACACACTGAGCCGTCTAATGGCTTTTTGAGGTTAAATTATGTGGAGAGTTCACTCGATACACAATTTCTTCAAGCCCCAAACATGATGAGTTAGTGACAGACTTACCTTTTTTAGGGACCTGATGCTACTCCCGCGAATCGCTGCCATCAGGTCATCGTGGCTTGACCTTTGTGGCAGGGGGAGGTGGTACAGCTCATCTCGTCTCCTCTGCAGTGGTGGTTTCAGGGCATTCTTCAGCTCTTTGAGAATATCAGCGCTCTCATTTTCATCGGAGCCGCTCTTCAGCTTATTTGACTTGGGTTTCCTCTGGTTTGACCGACCCTTTGTGCTGTTCCGACACTCATGCTGTTTGACTGTTTCTGCCATTGTCCTGGTTGGTGGGTCTACAGAGGGAGGAGGAGGATGTCTGTTCTGATTTTCAACAGCCTTAAAAGACCGTGTTGGCATCTTTGGTCTGTTTTCTGCAGAAGATCCAGGACCTTGTCCTGATACCTCTGGAGGGCTCTGTTCCTTCTTCTGTTGAAGCCTCCTCTGTCGCTGTTGGTCCTGGTTGCGTGTCAGGATGCTGGTCGCCGTCATCCTGGGGCCTGGGAGATCAAACTGGTAGCCGAGCTTGAGCAGGGTGGTGTTCTCCCTCAGCAACTGGACCATCTCCATCTCCACCCTACCCCCGCAGATGTGCCTCTGGTTGTGGAAGCGGAGCTCTACCAGCGTCCTGTTGTGTTGCAGTGCTGCCAGCAGAGCCAGGATGCCTTGACCGGACACAAAGTTGGACTCGATATTCAGGCTTCTGATTGAGCAGTTCTCAATGAGCATCTTCGAGATGGCGAAGGCAACGCGGTCGTCAGCATGGGTGTTGGCGAGACTGAAAACCTGCACATGAGTGTTTATGCACAGGGCCTCAGCAAAACGCAGCAGGGTCTCCTGGGCGATGTCTTCGACGTTGTTGAGGTTGACTTCGGTCACAGTGGGATCATCACCCAGAATCTGCTCCAGAGCCTTGTCAATGATGACGGGGTTCCCGCTCGGTCTGTCAGAGCTCACATTCAGGTTTTGGTTTGCGGTTTCAGTCCTCAAGCTTTGTGACAGACCATTGTTCTGAGAACATTTACTCCTAATTAGAGTCTCCTTTTTACACTCAATTTTCTTTTCTATCTTTTCAACCTTCAAATCATTGGTTGCACAAACATTCAGTGTTGTCTTTCCCTTGTTTGGGCAATGACAGGAAGAAGATTTCAGTGTCTTGCTGGCGTTGGTGCTGGCCACTGACACTCGCTCACCCCTGCTCCTATCTGGCCACCTCCCCTACAGATGATCACACAACAGAAAATGAGGTTGAACACTGACATTCTCCAGCCTCTGACTTTTAATTAAGAAGCCTCTCCAACGCTGGCAGACAGTGATTAAAGCTGACGTTTCTCAGACAGGCTTTATTTTTAGACTGTTTTCCAGCAACACATTTAAATAAAACTGGTCCATACCAGTGGTTTTATGTTTGAACTCATAAACATGTAATTAAATTATAGAGGATGCCAAAAATAAATGAGACTCATTCTCACTTTGAAAACTAAAAGCATCTTCCATATTTCTTATATTTGATTTGTATTTGACTAAAAGGACAAAGTACAACCAGTAAGCTGATTGGTGGAATGTCCCTTTACTACCAAACTGAAACTGAATTTGCTTTCTGATTTTTCTCAAAGTGCTGTCTGATCTAAACTGGTCTATTTGTAAAAACTGAGACGTTTTAGTCTTATCTCTCAGATTTGTTTGGTTCTTGAATACCTGCATGCAGAAATGTTACTGCGGCAAAGCTTGTAAACACCATGAGCACGTCAGTGTTTTCCCTTCATATTTATCTGCACGTGTTGCTGTTTCCAAAGTAACACTAAAATAACTAAATCCACTTTCCTGAGTAATGCACTGTTTATCATAGCAGTAGTTTGCCTTTTTTTAGCTTTTTTAACAATTGACTAACTGCAAAGATGCTTTGCTGATGTTTATTAAAATTGGAAGGTACTCATATCCTTAGGTTTTACTTGTTTTATCTCTTTGCATTACTGACAAACCTCTGATCCTTTTCCAGAGTTTCTACATTAATTTCACTCCTTCTGTGCAGCTTCAACTTTAGTTTGTTCCTATGATCATCTGTTAACAGTGACTGCAGAGGGATCAGCCATCATCATGTGCAGGTGTAACCAGGGAGCATTATTGAAACTTTCCTTGTAACATCTATGATCTGAGATGAAGCTGTGGAAAGCTATTTTTGGACAATCAAACCCTGCCGATGATAAACGTGAACTTGGTGTGGTCTTACATCACAGATACTGCAGCAACCTGGAAGGCACCAAAAGGCAGATATTTTTTTAAGAAAACCTGTTGGATGTTTGCAAAATGATCAGCAGAGATGCTGTGACTCCTGCTGCCTTCAAACATGCTGGTCTGCTTGTCTGTGTTGTAGAAAACCTGCAGACAGGACACTGATGTCCCCTCTCACCTGTCCAGGATTAGACTCCACCTTCTCATCCTGCCGCAGCTTCTTGTTGTCATCCTCCCAGTATTTCAGCAGAGCATCCCTGTCATAGGTCCCCGTTGGAGCTTTGGCGGTCTGGTCTTTCTGCCTCAGGCCGATGGGGATGTTGATGTCAGGGTCAAGGTAGGCCAACTCACTCTCCAGCTCCTGGAGCTCTTCAGGGGAAAGGGTGGCCAGCAGCTCCTCTTCATCCACCTCTTCCACCTCCACCATCCACTTCTTCAGCTCCCTGCGGTACCTAAAGGTACTCATGGTTCTGCACTGCTGCACTGGTCTCAGGACACTCCAAACACTCACTGTATCTCAGACTTTCCTTCTTGCACTTTGATCTCTTTGTATACTTGATTAAATCTTCCTTAAGTTGTCATTTTTGCTGTTGTACATGAACTTGTCCTCCATCAGGTTCATTCAGATCAGAGATGCTGTGGGAGACTGGTGAGTCCCAGCTGCCAGAGGGCCGTGACAGGGGTAAAGAGGTGGGCCTCCATGCCTCTGAGAGTCCTGTCTTTTTTTAGGGTGTTGGGTGGGGCCTCAGTGAGATAGGCTGGAATGTGAGCCCTCTCAGCACCTCATGCCTGAAAGCTCATCTGCAACTCGTGCCTCAAAATAAATGAAGGAACAAAACACCATGGGGAGACACCGGAGCTGAAGCTCTGTGGTGTTACATAACGCATCAACACAGAAACACAGCGTGGTTGTGGTGTTGTCGAGGAAACACTTGTTGTCTCTAAGGATGGTGCCGTTACTTCCAGTCCATGTGTGTTATGATCCTGTTAAACCGCTAGTGGGGTTTTGGAGGTGTTTGTCTTTGCATGGACAAAAACACGAGAAGGATCAGGCTTTAATCATCACAGAGTGGTTTGTTATGCTGTTGTCAGGACAACCATCGGGCTCAGTAACAACATGAATCCACCACTATGCAGGTTGACCAGGCCGTATCATGTAACTTGTTAGAGGTGAAAAGACACGACACCATTCTGATCTGTGATCTGCTGTGAATTTGACATGTGACCTGGACTATTGCTGATTAGCTTCATCACATTGTGCCAGCTGCTGTCAGATGTACAGATCAGACTAAGAAACGAAGCAGATTAGTTACAAAACAAAGGAGCAAACTGGTGATTGCTGCATGTTCTGCATGACTTATCTATCCACCATCGCTTTATAAAGACATGTCTGAGATATCTGAGACCAACAGGTTAGGTTTGATATCATGACGACGGAGCTTGTAAACTCTGCTTTCAAGGCCACTATTACAAACATCACTAAAATTGTAGGTAATTAAATTATCAGATGACTTTTAAGCAGGCTTCAAAGTGCAGAAACTGCCAATAACTGAACATGTAACTAATAACCCTCAAACAGTCTGCATCGCAGTCTCTTTTTCCAGGTGCAGTGCAGAAGATCGGAGTGAGGGATGTTCCAGCTCCTGTGTGTTTCTCTCCAGAGGTGTGAAAAGATGCATGGCATGCATCGGGTGTGAGCACAGGTATCTATGTAATAGGAGAAAGGGTGGATCTAGAAAATTTTGTGGGTGGCCAGGCTGGGGCACAGACTCAGAGAGGGGTGGCATTACATACACAGAATCAAATAGTTTATTCTGTGTAAGGATGAGTCACACATAGTGCTTTCTGTAGCTAACTTTGGCTCCAGAAACATTGCTGCTGCACAGTGGTTCCCACCCACTGAGGGGAATTAGTACTCCACAAGAACACAATTAGAGAAAGGAAATATCACGCTGTATGTGTGATATACAATAAAACTAATCTGACCCATATCAGTTATAAAGCACCAGAGAAGTGACAGTTGTATTTAAGGCAACAATTTGTCATTGTCATATTGCAGGTGGAACAAGAGAAGCTTAGGTTTCGTCCCTTTGGTAGTGAGTTTAGTTTGTTTTGTTTAGTACAATATATTTTTTAATGACATTTGAAATTAATTACCCGAGAAATTGCAAGCTGTAAAATGGCACTTTAGTAGATTCGCAATGATGATGTGCAGATGTAGTGACATCTAGTTCAATAGTTTTACAGGAAAAGATGCTGATGGCAAAATAGATTCAGTTTATGAAAGCAGAACGTCAGTCTGCTGTTCAGACACAATCTGGCTGCAGGTTGGGGAACAATGACACCTGAAAATCCTGTGATGCCTTCTCTAATTCCTTGTTTTTTTGTCTCACTTAAATCTGTATGTGCTTTGCTTTGTTTTAGCACATCAGCACACCTGCTGGTTACAGCAGCCTCAGGCCTGACCTGACCTCCCGCTGCTGTCAACAGTCTGGAGGTCGCTCAGAACAATGTGACCTCGTTTTGATATCAGCTTGTCCAGTAACCTGCCAGAATGTAGAGCCATGTTATTATTGTTGCTTCTGCAGGTCATTGGGTTAAATTTAGTCAGTGAGCTCTCACGCTGTGTCAGTCAGAGGAAACGGATCACACCTCTCTCACTGTGCTCACACATGTTGTCACCTATTTGTTCCAGGCTGAAATCTCCTGCATGGTGTCCATGACATTTGCTGCAGGTGTTCAAGGTTCCCAGGGGAAGAATTTTAATGAGGTTTTTGATTTGCTGACTTTTCCTTTAGTGCCAAAGTTTTAACTTATCCAGTGACATACTGTATTTCCTTCTCCAAAACAAGACACAGACGTTCATGGTTCACAGGCAATATGTTGTAATAATGTGAACAATTATAGGATGTGGTGCAAATACTGTGACAGTAGAAACCTGTTTCTCAGGACCGATATTCCTCAAACTGTGCCGGACTTTTATTTACCTCTACTGCAGGGGAACCAGAGGCAGCTCTTCTAACGACCTTTAAAAATCACCATTTTGATAAACATTTATTTGATCTGTTGGTTTAGTAAGAAACCTCCCTGTTCTCTGATCTGCTCCTCTTTAATGTGCTGTTGATGCAAAAGCAACTCATCCTCCATGTTTATCTTGATATATTTAACATAGCATACTCACTATCTGGGGAAAAAATGGCGCTAATTTAAATTCAAGCAAAACAGGTGGAAAAATGAAACCTCACTATGGTGCCATCTAGTGTTTGAAAAGTGTCATCATCACATCACAACCTTCTGACTGTCATGTGACATAAAGATTTGGCCCTTTTTCCCACCATGCAACACCGTCTCTAGGACTAGGACTGGAGGTTGGACCGCCGCTTTGTGCAGAGGATACCAGCTGTGCTCATCCACCTTACTGAAGGCTGCTGGGAAATCACAGAACTCCTGTAGCATCAGAGATCGTCTCAGTAAACAAGTTGTAGGCTTAAATCACTGTCTCTGTCCTCAGAAGACAAGCCTGAAGGTCTTATATTAAAGTCACATAGCATCAACAGTTTCTGTCTGAACGTTTTTAACTGTGGAACATTCTCAAAGTCTTTGTTAAGATTGTCTCACTTAATGACAATGGGTCACACTTGAATCTAATATGTATGCTGACACTGAGAAATGTGCAGTATTATTAGATTACGAGGTACAGATTGGTACATCAGGAGATTCTGCCATAACGTTGTAGTTATGGCAGTTCCAAGTAAATACTTGCAGTAAATGCAGTGATGAGCTAATGGTCAGTCATGAATGAAAGTCTATAGCAGGAGCCTCATAAAGTCAGTTGCACCCCCAGCCTCATAAAGATACTGTATCACCACCTGTTGCTAGAAAACAAAGCATCAGCTGTGCTGTAAAAATCCCATTACTCCACTTGGGAAGACCAGCCTGCCTGTTTTGTGCTGTTAAACATTTAGCTTTTCTAAAATGAGTTTTTGTCTGATATTCATGAATCCATCATCATCATATAATACTAATATACTACTACAGTACGTGTACGGACAGGTGACAAATGAAAGGCCAAGCTAACACAGAGTCCCAGTGAGGTGCTGGGCCGCCACGTGCCACCAGAACAGCTTCACCTTGGCACTGACTCTCCAAGTCTCTGAACTTCGCTGGAATCATACACTGAAGCTGCAGTACCACAGTGTTGGCATCATGGCTGAGCTACCAACCCCCCCCCACACACACATACACACTCTTCACCACGGTATTTCTAGATGTCACCTGCCCTGGCGTATTTGACACACTAACACCGCTCCACTGCACCTGATGGTTCCACAGCCTGCTGGATGATCATTTACTGTGCCATCAGAAAGTTGAGCCCAGATGCCGTTAGATGCCGGCCTGACGAGACCCTGCTGAAATAATGAGGCTGCAGATTTACAGCTTTGACCTTTGACTTCTTTGCTTTGCGGTTGATGAGCGTGTTGATGGTCAGTGGTTGGTAATTTCCTAATATAGATGGCCACAGTGAACTTTAGAAAACATCAGGTAAACATGAGGAAACAGTGCATTGTAGCACAGAGGAATAACATCTGTAGTATCAGGCTTTGGATGCACACATGTTTATTTCTTTGTAGGATCGGTTTATAGCTGCACATGGGATTAACAAGTGGCCATTTTTTTCTGGTGCTGATGGCCGATAAAAGGTCACAGTGGGCAGCAAAATTGTTATGATTCATCCTCAGAGGACCAACTGGTGTGTACAATGCTGTACTAGATGGGCTGGTCACCATCAGGTTTCTACAAGGACCAAAGGTGTCACATTGTAATTGATTTTCAGTTGAGAATTGATTTTGAATCAAATGTGGTCAAAACAACATCAACAACAACAAAGAGCAGGGATATGATTTGGAAAATGGCCAGAAAAATGTTGACCCCCCACCCACCCTACCTATTTTGTATTTAAATTGCATTTACAAAAACCCAGATTCTGTCAGAATACATGGCATCTGTTATAAAAAGTAAAGTAAAATAATGGTAATAAAGTTTGTTATGATTACAAAGATTACAAAGTTACATCCTTCCAAAATGAGCAGGACTCTTGCAGGAGATCTTCACGTGATGCGTTCAGGGTCCTGGCTGTAGAGGTCGAGCTCCTGGTACAGTATGAAGCTCCTCAGTCTGGGAGGGAATACATGTGAGTTCATGATTTCAGGGTTGCTGAGTCTCTTCAGTGTCAAACGCCTCCTGATCTCCAGTCTGCAGAGGTGCCTGAGGGAGCGAGGGCTGCCTGGAGAGCAGGGTTCACACAGTCATTTTACTTTACAGTCACAAAACAAACAAGTGAAAAGATGAAGCTGAATGAGAGGGGAGAGGTAAGAGGAATCATTGATGGTGCTGTTAGTGCCCCCTATAGGCTGCAGTGTTAGACTGCACACCTGTGCCTTCCAACCTGATGCTTGTCATAATGTCTAAACGAACTCACTGAGGATTTCACATATTTCGGGCCACTCTTTTTGTTTCTCCAGGATGAGTCTGAGTTTGGAGCAGATGTTGACGTGGTTGACGTAGTCCAGGAGTATCCGGACCACGTTCCCCGACAGATGCATGAGACAGCAGAGACTCATGAACTCACAGAACTGGAGTGAGGACATTCACAAGGTTATTAAAGTGTTTGTTATTTGTGCATATAGAAGTAAAGACATTTAAAACACATTCACAGTGAAAGGTTCAGCTCCTATGTGCATGTGGTTATGAGGCTTTTCTACTTGTTTATCTAATGTTTTGTTTTTTCCACCTTCCACATTCAAGCATGTTCAGTCTCTCTCTTGTGTTGTTATTGTTTGATAATGGATGATTCTGCTAAAATGGACATCACAAAATGTCACACCAATGGTTTAAGGAAACCAAAAAAGGAAACAGCTATCAGTGGCAACTCACTGGAATTTTCCCCTCCAACAGTTCCTCAGCATCAAAAGCGTTGTCATGGTGACAGTGAAAGCATCTCTCCACCTTGTAGCCGTTGTTGAGCAGCAGCCTCATCATCACCTCATCCTTCAGGCAGTACTGCAGTGCTGTGGGAAACACTGTGTCACTTACCACTGTGAAGTAACAGTTCACGTCGGCTTTGGCTTTCAGCAGCAGCTTCACGATCTCGTAGCGCCCTGACCTGACCGCCACCAGGAGGCCGCACAGTGGGTCTAGGTCTGTCTTTGCCCCGGCTTCCAGGAGGACTTTGGTGCAGTCCACATCCCCATTGGAGATGGCAAAGTACAGGGCGCTCTTCCTCATGTCCCGGTAGTTTTCTGAGTTTCTGGTGTTCATGCGGTAGTTGACATCAAAGCCACAGGCCAGCAGGAGCTGCAGGCAGCGGCTCTGGCCTCCCTCTGCTGCGGAGTGGACCGGGCTCAGACCTGCCTCTTTAATGGCCTTCTTAGTAGTCAGCGGTATCAGCATCTTCACAGCACTGTGGGAATAGAAAACAGGTCACATCAAGCAATATGACCTAACAGTCACTAGTACTGGAAATGGCTAGATTCTGTGGCCAAATCATGTCATTTCAGTGGACTTGGTGCAGTCAGATTTCTTGTCTTGTTTGAAAAGTCATTTGTTTGCCATCACAGAAGGCCAGCAAAGAGAAGCTGGAACCAGTGGCATTGCTTTTCAGTGACTTTACTGAATGAAACGATGTCTAATCCTGAAAAACATGCTGCCTGGGGAGAGGAGCTGGCCCACAGGATCTCAGCAGGGTGAGCAGGCTGTTAGCTGTTACAGCACTTCACAAACTAGACCTATGAGTAGCTGCTATACCAAAAATCCTGTTTCATGAAGATGTGGATGAATTTCACTGTGCCACTTCCTGGTGTGGCAGGCCTTTAAGTATCAACCCCCTACAGGCTGCATTGCTCATTACAGCCCACAGTCTGAAGGTATTTGACAGAAGGAGCTCACTCATAGTGTCCGGAGTATGCGGCCTTGTGGATGGGCAGGTGTCCGGTAATGCTGGGTAGGTTGGGGTTGGCGCCGTTGTCCAGCAGCAGCTGAATGCAGGCGATGTTTCCTGATCCAGCTGCATCTAGCAAGACGCTTTCCCCGTTACAGGCCTGAGAGTTCACTCTGCTACCTGAGCAGGGACAGGAGCAAAAAAACAGGAGGAGACTGGACATTTGCACAGCTACAAATGGAGATGAGTTAGTAAAAGACAAGTGAATAATTGCATTTTGATCTTTCTTATTGCCTCTGTTAGATCTGACAAATTCATCCCCATGTTGTGAGTTAACTGTCTCTCCACCGTCACTGACCCTGCAGTGAAAACCCAGTTTTATCTTCAGACTGACCACAGTGCAGTAGTATCTCAGTGATCTGGAAGTGTCCGTGTTCTGCAGCCACTGCGAGCGGCGTCACCCCTGTCACATCCTTCTGGTTGACGTGGTCGCCGTTTCTCAGCAGCAGCATCAGGATGTCCACGTTGCCCACCTTGGCCGCCTCGTGCATGGCTGTCCACTTCTTCCTGCACACCTGCTCCACCCAGGCACCGTGAGCCACTAGTGCGTATGTCATCTCGAAAGAGCCGGCCCTCACTGCTGCAAGGTGAGGACACATACTGTATGTTTGGGTCACTAAGGATTCATAGAGCTGTGACAAACCACAGATTGTCCCAATATCACTAAGGATGGATTTTGTGTATGTTTAGCGGCCTAGTAAAGCAGAATATTTGATGTTTTCATGTAGAAATGTTTATAGTTCCTTTAATTTATCTTAAAGCTACAGTATGTAACTTAAGGCATCAGTAGCATGAAACTCCAAATCAATCGACCCAGCTCCACCCAGCCCTCCCTCTCCCTGCTCCACTACTCTGTACCACAACCTGCTACGTCCCCCCACCCCATATTAGTTGTTGTGAAGTTACAAGAAATTAAAGTGCAACAAAAATGTATCTAAATTAATCAGATTAGTTTACAACTTGGAACTAGACCCCATAAACTTTAAAGGTCCGTAGCCTAAGAGCACAGCCTTTACTCTGCACACTCTCAGGACACTTTATTGGTAAAGATGAATAACATCTCTGCATTGTTCATCTTTTGTTTTCTTTTGTGTGATGACCAACTGTCTGCTTGCCAGTTATTACCCAGCAGCAGCGGCGACTCATCCTTGCTGTTGCTGTTGTGTGGAGAGGCTCCGTGCTTCAGCAGAGTCTTCACGTTTTGCACCAGCCCAGCTTTCACTGCCAGGGTGAGCGGCGTTTCTCCTCCCACGCCTGCTCTTTCCTCCAGGCTGAGCCCCTGACCTGCCACTGACACAGACACAGCACACAGAGGACGTCAGTGTGCACGTCCCTGGAGTTCACGTTGCAGGTGAGCCGGTAAGCTGTACACTCCTCACTGCTGGCTGACCTCTAGGCTGAATGAATGGGGAGCGACATCAGAAGTGATTTTAGATGGAGAGGACTCATGACATCAGCTGTTATGTGCTGGAAAGCAGCACTGTTTCTCAGTATTCTGTGATTAATATCATAGCAGGCAGCCATTGTCCTGATGATGTCGTCTCCCCAGTGTTCAGCCTGATGTGACCTGATGTCTCATCCTTACTTGTCATCTTTATTTATTACTGGAGTCAGCTCCACTGGTTAAAGGTAGTGACCTCTAGCTTCAGTTGAGTGGACAGATTACAGGCATCTCTGCTGCTACACCTCCTGACCTCTTTCAGTCACTGGACATTTGTTGCTGCAGTAATTAAAACACTGCTGCTATAAATTAAAGATACCCTGTGTCTAGACTCAGAAATGAACGGAGGCAGGTGTAACACATGTTAAACACAGTACTACATTGTTTGGCACTTATGAGTGCCACCTTCATTAGGGTGCTTATTTACATTCTGACTTTTTGAAACTGATAAACTTAAAGGAGATTCTAATGAAATCTGCCCTGAGAGTGAACAGAGGTACCTACATGTCAGGACAGTTTCCAGAACCTCCAGAATCGGTTGGGACGCGGCCCGGTGGAGGGGAAGCAAGCCACAACTGTCCGACTCCCTGAAGGCGAAGGTGTGGCCCAGCATCTCCCTGAGCACTAGCACCTCACCTGGTTACCATGACAATGAGACAACAGCCCAGGGGTTTAAGAAAGACAGGAGAAGAAACAGAAACCTTCATGACTCATTGGAGCTGAGATGTGTTGGTCAGTATAGTCCACATTTTCCTCTCCCCTCTGTTTATCTCCCTGCCGTTGGTGTGCCAGGCCCTGAAGCTTGGCAGTCCTCACCTACAGCTGCTGACCACGTGACTTTGGCTTCCAGGCTGAGGGGAGAGGCACCAGACCAAACACAAGGACAAAACTCTGTGGGGATACTGAGGGTATTTCCAGGGCCATGTCCAGCCTACCTTGCTCAATGGCAGCCAGCACGCGTAGGTTTTCATCCGTCGCTGCAGCTAAACTAACAGTCAGGAGGAGAGGAAGCGTGGCACAGTCAGCTGGATGTTAATGCACATGTTTTTAGGAGGAGGGGGAGGTTTAGATATGGCATCCATACCTGGCTGCAGACTTCAGAAAAGCCTCCTGGCAGGATTCTTGAATATTAAGCTGGATGATGAAGTTATTGAGCTCCTCTTCGCCGTATTCCTCATAATTGTTCATCACTCTGCAGGGAGGAGGCGCATGAGTCCACTCATTTAACTGCTGGTTTACAATCTGCATTTCCAAATTTCAAGACTTCTATGCAGAATTTAAAAGACCAAATCGGTGGTCATGCATTTTCAGCATATGAACTACAGATTGCTTCAGCCTGGAGTTAAACTGGCTGATTTTTGGCTACATCAAGGCAGCAGAATAAGCTGAATACACAGCCCTCACATATACTGTGGCTTTGGTTGACATGTTAGCAAACTGCTGCAGACTAATGTGTCCACCTGGTGAACAGAAGAACAATGATCTTTGTCCTTTTAGTTGTGCTATAGTCTGCACCAACTCTTCAAAACATCTTTAAGTGTAAAATGATCTTATCTCTGTGAAGATTAAAAACAACACCACATCATGTCACAGTTGCTAAGTGACAGCAGTGTGATGTCGGACGCCTACAGTGTGAAACTGTTATCCACAACTGAAACACACAGTTGTTCTGAAATAATTCTGGATCAGTTTTAATTAATATTTTCTTCACATTTCTCACAGATCTTCCAGATCCACACCAAGCTGGAACACCTAGCTGTGGGGTGGGAAAAACAAATGCAATGCAAGACAACAACCCAACACAATATTGCCATAAAAAAGACTATGGAGCAAAATCAGCACCGATGTCAACAAAAACAGGTCTGTAATTTCATATCAACTTTTCCAGAAAGTTTCCTGAAGACAGTGGTGTGATTTGGTGCTAAAAACAGAAAATACAGACAATGTTCAACTGAGACACCTTCAGTTAATCCAGTGTTTAATTGCTACAGATTCAGAGCAGAGCAGGTTTGCAGACAGATACAGTTCAACAGGCATGAAGTTTACAAATATAAATGAACAGCGACTGTTTGGCTTGCTAAACTTTGGTTTAAACTGAAATTTTTCCCCAAAATAAATATTGAATTACAAGTTGTTTCCAGGAAAGTTCCAAGGAAATGATCTGAACTTACTACATGTAAAACAAAGCATCACCTAGTAAAGGCCAAATGATGTAAATGTAACTTTTCAAGCTCCATTATTCACTCTAAAAAAAAAGACAACAAAACACGTAGATCTATGGCCTCCAGGTTTTCTGTTATTCTGTCCACCCTGTTTTCCTGATGATAACTTCACTCACCTGACGACCTCTCTCACACAGACATCCAGACCAAAATGTACCAATTAAAACAAATACCTGATGAAGCTGAACACTCTCACCTGTGCGGGATGTTAGTCGGCTTGTGCTGATGGCTCAGACTCCACTGACAGCATTCAGTGGTTTATATTTAGTGCCTCCCAACCCTGTGTACACAAACAGAGCGAGGCGGCGTGTGGTCGACACCTGGCCCACTGCTCTTAGAGCCGGGGTTTGTGCTATTGTGTGAACTAAGCACATGTAAGATCCCCCAATCCTCTGGGGATTAGGCCATAGTCATACACTGCAAACAAGATCACTGTTTAATGTTTCGTGGCCGAGTCTATTTTTGACTTTGCTACTTTGTCTAAGAAACATGAGTTGATGGATGCCCAGTAAATTGTTGGCAGAGTTAGCAATGCAATAAAAGTGGTCGACCAGGCGACAGCGGAGTCTGAGCTGTCGTTTTAAATCTTCTTCTCTGATGAACGAGCTTTGTGATTGTTTCCTGTTGTGATTTCAATGCTCTGCTTTTATTATCTGCTGTTTGTGACTGTGCTTCATTGACTTTTAATGGCTTCATGACTTGATTCAACTTGTTTGGCTTTCTGTCTGTTTACTCCTGATTTTATTACTTTTTTTAATCAGTTATTTTTCTCAGTAAAGCACCTATTTATTTAGACGTTTTTATTCTTCCAGGAAGAGCTTGTTGAAATAAAATTTCTCCCCTTTTAATTCAGTATATTTATTAACAAATAGAAATCACTGCACCAAAAAGCAAATGACAAAATAAACAGGGCAATTCTGCACAAAAAATCACATAAAAGAGACAGATAAAATACAGCTGCAAAGAAAATGATGCAGCACTTTATCATAGTGGTTTTGAATCATTTATATGAATGCTGTTTATTGTCCCTGTAATTCAAAAGAGGCCGTTTCTGTGCATATCAGGCTTTCTCTGACTTCCAGTGGTGAAAAACAACCTTTAAAGCTCTAATACAAGTACAAAAGGGCAAATACAAATTCTTCTTTGCTTATTTGCTGAGGTGGAACAGACCTGTCATCTAATAAACATGATGATGTCCATCCAAAATGGAGAGACAGCAGCTTAATATTGGCAGCAGATGTTTCTTGCATGAATCCTAAATTTTGATATGTAGCTGCAGCAAACTACCCACGTACACGTTTGTAATGAGTTAATGTGGCCCATGCATCCTAAACTAACTTCCAGCATGAGCCACATGTGGTGTGTGTGGAGCTGGACAGCAGTGACATACAGCTGCAGACAAACACTGAACGACAGCCTTCTGAATACATACCACAAGAGAATCACATATAAAAGTCACTGAAAATACTGAAATCACAATTTATCGAAGTGTAAAAGATGCTGTTTAAAGTAGATATAATGGGTTTATTGTAAATAATCACTGGCTGATAGTTGGTCATAGCAGTGAATTGTCATCCACCTCTGCAGCTCTGATCAGCTACGAGGAGCTTTTGTTTGTTTCTCAGATCATCTGATATTTCTAGCAGGCCTGACTGTTGTAACACTGTGCAGCTGCCTATCTTCTGACCAAATGTATAGAAAACTCAGTCTTATTTTAAAGGCCCTTCTTTGGCTTCCTGTTAAGAATCTGCTTTTAGTTTTTAAGTTGCCTAACGGCACCTGAATACTTCCGTGATACACGTGTTAGCTGTGCTCCTCCTAACGTCCTCAGCCACTGGCCTCCTGGTCACTGCACAGTAGTGATGCTGCTTGTTGTGTCACAAGCCGTTGGAATGATCCTCCAGAGGAGGTCGGGGCTTCCTGACACAGTAGTATTTTTTTATGGTTTGCTAATATGAAGCCTGTAGCTAATAATAATTTTATTGCTTGTATTTTTATGTTCCTTTTGGACTTTGTTGTAAAGCACTGCACCTGTGAATTATCACTGGTTCAGTCTCACTGCTCTCTCACAGCAGCTTTGTGTCTGAAAGAGGACAAATATGATTCTGAGCTCTCAGACTGTTTCATGGACACTGTGTTTATGATATGATGTTTTTGGCACATGTTCACCAGCTGGTCTCCAACTGTACCTGCCAGACAGGCACGCTCAGAGACCAGCTGGTGAACATGGTGGAGCATTTAGTAGCTACAAAGCCAGAGGTTTCCCCCAGGAGGTGGTGGAGACCAAACCAGAGGCAAAAGGAGTATTTCCACTCATCAAGTGAACACAACGGGACTCTGATGGGAGGACCATGCATGTATATGTGTGTAAATAGGTGACTGTCTGCTAACACAGTAGACTTATCATTTTAAATGGTGATAATAAATCCTGTATTCAGAGCTTGTTCCCATTGCCCACATCTGGACAAAAAAAACACACAAAACAAGCAGTTATTGCCTCAGGCTGTTGTGTTGTTTCAGGTGTCTTATTATGTTGTTTTAAATGAGCACCTGTGTGATAGATTTACTGTGGTCGTCCCGTGGGCCGTGTGAGCTCTGCGGAGCCAGCAGATGTCCACCAGCAGATTAGCGGAGCTTTACAGGGGCCGCCATGTCGCCTCCTCCGGCTCACAGGCTGAAATAGCAGCGTCCAGCTCAACACAAAGCTCCTACTGTCAGTGAACACAGGGGGAGGTTTACTTGGACAAATGCTTCTTCATTGTGTGTCAGTTTGTAGTTTCAGTGTATAATATGGAGAGATCAGATGAAAAACGTGAGCTGCTCACCATATTCCAGGGAGTCATATATGACCTTATCAAAGTGCACATGGATAGATTATAACACAATGGGCACGGACATGTAAACAGCCCCCGTGTATATGTCTTTGTAGTATTTTTACATCTAGCAGCAGTTGATGGGATGCTCTTTGTAGCTGTGTGGTCACTCTTCATTTCCTTTTAGTCATTTTGTGCCCTTTTGTGTTTTTACAGTACCACTTTTGTGATTGCCAGGGGTGGACAGGTGTCTCCTTGTTAATAGAGTAAATCGAGAAAATCATTAATTTAGTCAGTTTACATTTTTCATTTTTCATCTCTAGGCCTCAGGCTGTACACTGAGAGCCACGTGGCTCCTGGTTGCTATGGCAACGTGTAAACTCTGGCGTTACCTGGAGAATAAAGCCTTAGGAGGACAGCGTTAGCTACATGTGCTATCTCGAAATCCCGTTAAATAAGGAAAATAACACCGTGACAGGAGTTAAGACCTGTTGGAAACGAGCTGCTCGTCCATCACCACTTTGAAACACATTTGTTCCCGTCAGCACCGTGACAAAGGTAAAGGTTAGTCAACAAGATCCGGTCGGTCAAAACTGCCATGTCGGAAGTGAAAGGCGACGACGAGGATAAGATTGCACAAAGCACACAACCTGGTGAAAACAGTGCAAAACTGCCTCCAGAAGACGGTGGAGAGGCGGCACAGCCTGAGAGGTGCGCCACAGGTGGGTCCGTTTATGAGTCCAGACTCACTGGAGGCCTTTGACAATCTGTTAGCTTAAAACCTAAAAGGAAATAATGAGGAATACATATTTAGATGTTCGAATTGTCCATTGCATTGCTACATATTGCATTTAGGTATTGACACAATGGTTATGCATAATATAGGGTTAGTGTGTATATTGTCTTCATATATTTTATTTCTCATATATTAAATTTTTGATTTAATCAAAGCTGAATTTTAAAAACTGGAAGAAAACGAAGTTTAAGAAGAAAATCTGCTTTAAAGAATTGGACATAAGTACAAAACAGTGAAGTGCAGCTTTTTAAACCTTCATTTTAATTGCTGACTTCCTATGTGTTTGATTCATGTATTTATTGTGATATAAAATGGCTGCCTAGTGTTTGATGAGTATAAAATTTACCAATATTCAGAAGTGTCCTCTCACCTTTCTGGACTGTGCAGATGTGCCGAAGAATGTGGAAGAAGCCGAAACTCAGGCTGACCTGCCCGACGACAACGAACAACCCCGAACGACAGAAACATCTGGAAACTCAGTGGAAAGTGGTGAGATGATTCAAGAGCATATACTTAAAACAGTGTGGTGAGAAAAGGAGTTACAGACGGTGTGGTTCAGATTTCTCTGTCACAAAACAAAGGGCCCGGCTGAGCTGGATTATTAAGAGACGTTTGAGAGAACGTTATCAGAAAGTTGTTTTTAAACATATACGAAACATTTAATGAGACCTTTAATGTGGTCTGTAAAGAAATAGTTTCATGGATATCCATCCAGTAGTTGATGAGATAATCCTAACTTTCTGGATTGTGCAGATGTGCTGGAGACTGCTGAAGAAGCTGGAGCTCAGGCCGACCTGCCCGATGATGCTGAGCAGCTTAGAGAGCCTCAGGGAGCAGAAAATGTTGGAAACTCGACAGCTACAGGTCAGACTGATGTACAGATATTAAGAAATACAAACTGGACCCTAAACTAACTGAAATATCCTCAATTGAATCTGCTTCCACTCATCACCAGATGTTTTAAATCTAAAGCTATCAATCATAAAACAACATCATCTTATAATAAACGGTTCTTGGACAAATACGCGTGATGCTAAAAACCATGGAAAACACAAACAACAAACACATACTCGGTAGATTTAATGTCAGTGTGCTGTGCCTCATATGCTTGGTTTTGATGTTTTCATTGTGTGGAGGTGGTGTTTTGTAACATACAGCGTATCATACAGTACCCTATGTGTAAGAGTAAACATCATTCACAACAGTTTACACTGAGTAAGTTCTGTTACGCCAGGACTGTGTATTAATATCAATATGGACTCCAGAAAAAGCAGCTGTTGCCGAGGTAACAGCTAATGGGATGTGCGTGAAGAAATATAAAAAATAAAGGAGCTGCTGCTACAGTATTGACACTAACAAGATGTTGTTCATGGTGATACCAGATAAAACACTGAGACAAACACAACAGCAGGTTTCTGTAGTGGTCGTTACCGTTCATCATCACACTGGTCCTGATGCTGCCTGATAGGATTCAGTCAGTTTATCTTCCAAATAAACTTAAGCTGGTTTTATTAAAAAGAAAAGCCTGCGCTCCTTCCCCAGTCACTCTGTCACAGATCAGCTGATTTTATTTTCACTTTTATGAGTGATAAAATGTAAACATACAGAACTCTCATGTGTGTATTCTGGGATTAACAAAAAGTAGACATATTTTGTTGAAGTGTTGGCAGTGTGCAGTTTCAAGACAACAGAACATGAGGACAGCAGTCACAAAGAAGTGGCGTTCAGTATTACTCCCCAGTTCCAAGGCTGTGGATGGACACTGTGGAGACCGACGTCCTGACACACTTGTGCTCTGAGACTTTCAATTTAGAAATGTGTATTGATTATAACACCACTAAAGCCACTTTGTAAGCAACAAAATAATTAATATAGTTTTTATTAATCTTATGGAAAGACATTTGAGATCTAAAAACAGAGTGCCACCATAAGATGTCAGTTTTAGAGTGAAAACCCACAGACTGTCTGTGTGTGCGGTTGCAGTGAAGGTGGTGCTGGTGCCAGAGGGACATGTGATGACTGTGGCCTTCGCCATCGGCCTCAGCATCCAGGAGCTGAAGCGCCACCTCGCCTCTGAGCTCAGAGTCCCCCCAGACGTGCTGCGGATCTCTGTGGATGGTAGGTTGTTACACCGGTGTTCATACAGCATGAGGTTTTCACAGCTCAACTGTTTAACTTTAAACTGCCAATTTTCTTTGGTTCCCCAGCCGCAGCTCCTGCACAGTCAGACTTGAATTGATAGCATTCTGGAAACAAAACCCATCCTAAGCATCTCATGTGGATTTCTGCATCTAAAACACTAAACAAAAGTACAAACAACATGTTTTTTTCCTTAGATGAGTTTGAGAAGTTGGAGCTGTAGTTTTAAAAAATGTAATCCACTATATTAGAAAAAAAACCCCATTTTTACAAAATGTATTACTTGCATTTTCAAGTCGCACATAAAAAGGTCAGCGTGGAAACAAAGTTTGAACTGTGGCAAAAAAATATTTGACACTTGGCTGAGCTGGAGAAGTCGTGGTATGGATTAGCACCACCAGTTATTTATCTTGACAGACAAACTCCAACTGTTCCCATGAATTTTTTGACCTTTTGGAAAGATTTGCCCAATATCTCTGTGTAACCCACCTCAGTCCCAGCATTTCTAAAGAGGGGGTGGACTTTGAATCAGCAGGTAGTGGCCATCAGAAGAACAATGGTTTCAGATTCTGTTGGATGTTAATATGAATGATTTAAAATGAGATGCTCCGATCAATACGACTCGTCATTCTGTTGGTGTTTCAGGCAGAGCGGTGGAGGAGCAGCAGAGCCTGATGGAGCTCGGCGTCCGGCCTCACGGCTCCACCCGCATGGAAATGAGCTCCACCAACCCCACCGTCCACCCGCTTCGCCCCGTACGTCTCCCAGAGCATGACAGCATGCCCGACGTCATCACTGTCCGAGTCCAGACAGGTGTGAGCTCCTGTGCAGTGTGTGTGTGTGTGTGTGTGTGTGTGTGTGAAGCAGCTGTTTGTCAACATGTGGACCAACTTCATGGGCGGCTGCTTCTCTGTCACTGTCATTTGGAGTCTTCCTGCCCTCCAGTGCTCAGAACTCGCTTACTGCAGCTGTTGTAGTGCCTCTTTCTAACATAGAATATGGGACCTGTTCCAATATTTCCAAGGTCCTAGGAAACTTTATTTACTGGCAAATCTAATGATGTTAGTAGTGTTTTTATTTTACATTTGTTTTAATTCATATTTGAAATGCAGTAAAAAAGCAAAATCAGAAAGAAGATGTTATATGATAATTATCAAATAAAAAAAATGTAACAAACAATTTTGGAAATTAGGGATTTGAAGATTTGTAAATGCCGCTCTAGTTTATATTAGAGCAAAGCACGGGTGCATTAGATCAAAACTTTAGTTGTGAAAATCGATTCACTCATATGCGTTGGATTTTTGACCATGCGACAAACCTCACACTTTCTGTAAATCACGGTACTCTGACTACAAACTCTGAGCACAGTTAAATGATCATCTCTCTGACTTGCAGATGATGGAGCGTTCCAGGAGGTGGTGGTGGAGATCGAGCGTGCCCGCCAGCGGAAGGCCTTCCTGGGGGGCTACAGACACCGACTGACGGGGACACAGTACCACCACGCTGCTGTCCAGACGCTGCCCAGGAGGAGAGCTGACAGGGGAGTGGTCGTCTTCAGCCGCGACACCCAGGTACACCACAGACAACTCAACAATATCACACTAAAATTAGAAAGAAAGAAAGCACAGTTAGAATAGAACATGAGACAGACCCCGACTACTGCTGAGGAGAACAGCAAGGCAGTTCGAAGCTGCAGTTCAAGGTCACTCATTACAGAAAAACCATGTTTTCATTCAGGCAGGAGAACTTCATGTGCAAACTAAACAGTATAATTACATAGAGAGAGTGAACCAGAAGAACAAATGTTCACAGTTTGAGGCGCATTGTCTTTACTATATCTGAGTCTGACTTTGTTCTACTATATTTGAACTCTGTCAAGAGAGATAAGGTAAATAAAGTCTGAGTAAGAAGAGGAAGTGAGGTTCTTCAGGTGTGAATGCACAGAGACATGAGCACACATGCTAAATGTCCAGGAGAAAGTGGGGTCTCAGTTCCAAATAATGAACCCTCCCTATAGGTAGAGAGAAGAAGACAATACAGACCCACAACTGAGATTTGCTCAGCGACTGAAATACGAGTGAATGAAGTACACCAAAGTGTCAGTACAGTCTGATGACCAGGCTCAAAATGCCAACTAGACGTCATGTCAAAGTGAGTGATGCTCTCACCAACCAGTTTAAGTCATTATCAGTGTCATGGTTTAGTTTGTGCTGATGTTGGCACAGTGACCTGTGCCTCCGGCAGGAGGTCTGATTTAAGAGGAAGGGCAGAAGGACGAAACTGTCCAGAGCTCTGTGATAACTTTATTGCTTTGACTTTTGGACAGCAACTTCAGGTTTCCAAAGAAGATGCACTGATTTACAAGAAGTAAATTTTTTTCTAGGAAATATTTTTAACTTTTAATCTTCCAAGAAGCAGGTATATGGAGTTATTGGATAACCCCGCGGAATCAAACTGGGAAGCCATCTTTTTACATTAGATTGCATTTATGATTGGTGGATTTTGCAATTTATTCTCAGCACAATTATCCGCAGAACTGAGTAAATGCCAGGAATCAGGATCATAATATTTCCCAGGAATTCTTGCAGGATCAAATCCTGTGAAAAAAAACCTGGGGTGAGCATGTTTTTCCAATAACAGTGATGTTATTCTCATGCCACTGAGTGTAATCTGAGGTTTGGCACAGATGTCTGTTGGTGTCTGTACTGGTGTCCTGCCTGTTGTCCATGCAGACCTCCTGACCTGACGACAGGGTCAGTTGGCGTCTGACAGTTAATAACTCTCACTAGGTCCATATAGTTAAATCATTTGTAGCATAACGGCTGCCCTCGTGGTGAGTCTGGAGCTCTGTCAGAGGTGTCAGAGGATCAGATGATTGTTGTTTTTCATCATCTCAAAGACATAAACAGTAACATACTTTTAGAAAGTCATACACACGATTGCAAAGGAAAAAGATCATACACTAATAAATATTAGAAATATCAATGAACTACACAAATATCATCCCCTTATGAATTAACTGTGGTTCTGTGGCAGGGTGTAAAATCCTGGAGATCTCAGTGGGAGTGCGTTGTGTTCCCAGGAAGTAATATTTTATCATTGTAAATACACAGGAAATCCTTCAACCTTGATCAGAACGGAGTGCTTTTTGTGTCCGCGTTGTACTTTAGACACATCTCGTTCTCAGTTTATGTGTGTGCCGTCATCAGATAAAAGTAGTATGTGACTCATTCAGCTTTATCCTCCTGCTCCACTGTCAGCTGCCCTTTGCCTCTGGATTATTATGACTGACACTCTCTCTCTCTAATGATGGTAGCGGCCCATTACAGACATGCATACAGTACATGAAGACACACTGCTGCAGTAATGAGGCCTTGTTGCTCGGTGGTGTCGTCAGCGCCTGCCACTTCTGTCGGCCTCGGGATCCCGCCCCCTTTCCTTCTCCTCAGCTCCTGTTTGTTTTTACACAACATCTAATATTATCTGTGATCATAACAGGAATGTTTTTAAAATGTTGTGTTTGTGGGAACAAGGTCACATTTCTATGCTTTTCTTCCATGTTTCTAACCTTTTCCCCTAAAATGCCTAAAGGACAAAATAAGGCTCAGATGAGAAACAAGAAAACCTACAGTACCTGTAGTGGTGATAGATAAAACTGATAACTCCGTCTGTCCACATCTCTGTAGCTCTGTAGTCATTCTCTCTGTCCAGAGTTTGCCTTTGCCAACATTTCTGAAGATGTTGACATTTGGTTTGAATGAAATTTAATGGAAGTGTGAGAGGACAAAGCCGATCCAGGGTTGTGTGTTTCACAGTGAGCGCCTGTCAAGAGGCAAGACACCACAACAAAGCCTGAGAGAGACATTCAGCCATGGCAGACTGGCAGACTGTGTAAGGTTTCTGATCTTTGGACCCAAAACCAGAGAAATAAACATCTTTAATGCAACACACAAGAATATGGCGGTCCACAGGGAAGTGAACCTCAGCACTGAATGTTTCAGAAGCATAAACTTCAGATGAGGACAGGCACACAGTAATATCAGACTTGACAGAGGATAAACTCTGGATGGGAGGAATTTAATTTGATGCATTGGGCTGAATTTTTAAAAATTTTCTTTGTTTAAAGTTTTGAATGTGTTAAGTTAGCTTCTCTGAGTTCAGTCGGTCTCTGTGTTTCTGTCTCGCTGCCAGACAGTGGAGCTGAAGCGTCAGGCTCAGCAGTGTCCAGTCACCGTCTCCACCCAGATGACCGGGATCGGCTGGCACGGCCTCACCCACCAC